GGATAACTTTTCTGCTTATTTTATGTGAATGGCGCAAATTTTTATATTGAACAAAACAAAATTAGCTGTGTAGGAGTCGAATTGCAAAAAACTAACTCGTGATTGTTATTGCACACATTTTTTTCTAAATTTTGAAAAATAAAATCTATATCTCAAAAATCGGAGGCCCCGGACTATTTTTAACATTTTAAGCGTCTGCGAGACAAGCGAACAATAAACAATTAATTTTCTGCACTAAATATTCGTTTTTAGATATATATAATGGATCTTCAATGTATAAGAAATCTCATTCCAATAGTCCGCGACTTTTAAAACTCATAGCGGTCTTCCCTTGATTTTATAATTTAATCGAGTCATTTAACCGTAATATTTTTATAGATGCAAACTAGCATTGAAAAATCAATTAATATTCACACTTACCTCCTTTTGAGGAATTTGACGCTGTAGGTTTTCGATTTCGTATCGGCATTCTGATGGCGATCTTTTCTGTAGATAATGGTACCACATCACTTTTTTTATGTGTTTAAAAAACAATTGCAAACATTGCATACAACACTCAGGAAAACTTTGAAAAATAATTAAAAATGAAGAGAAATGATGCATGTCTTCCAACGGTCATCGACAAACTGAACTGGAAAATATCACTTCCTTGCTATATTCTAGGTCGAAAAGTATATTTAGTTGCAAAGGAAATGTACCCAAGTGGTTCCCTCCGCTTTCAAACTTCTAAGCCCCCCCACTGAAAAAAAAAAATTCACAAAAAAAAAATTCATAAAAATTAAAGTAATTGTATTCTTTGTTAGGTATAAGAAAAATACTACAAAAACTTAGTATTTCCATAGAAAAATTCTACTGAATTCGTATTGGAACCCTTGAAAAACTCTATTGGAGTTTTGTGAAAATTCTATTGATTTGTTGTGCTAATTCTATCGGAGATCATGCAATTTTACTATCTCGTATTCCTAAAAGAATATAGAATAGAAAAAAGTCCATAGATTTTTCATTTCTCCATTCTTGGATACAAATTTCTCAAATTTTGTATGGAGCCCACCTGCCCCTCGCTTCTCCTCACTGAATGAAAAACCAGAACAAAAACGTAAAAAGTGATAATAATGAGTGAATCGGAAATTCTCTGTCTAAAAGGATGACCCGAGTCGAATATTAGGACCTGAATTCCACCTTGAACACCCATCATGAGTAGGAGGACCAGGATGAAGTTAGGGTATATTTACATTCAGAAAGACCCCCTGGTTTCCGCCTGAACGTGCGAGTTATTTCCAAATTCCGAGGGTTTAGGAGGAAAACAGAAGATGTGTTAAAACTATTTATCGCCTGCACCGCCTAAAATGTTTTCCACTCCATCCCCCCTGGAAAGAACCTACAAACAGATCATCTTGGCTATCAGGGTTAATTCAGGGGATTTATGATTCCTTTTCATTCGACAGGAGGAGAAGGGGGAAAAAAAGTATCAGTTGAGAAGGGTTTTTACGCCTTTAGGATGACGCAGGTTCATATAAGTTATTCAGGATGTATAGGATGAAGAAAGAAGGAAAAAATATCTCAAGGAGGTAATAGGGGCGAATAAGGTAGATATACCTTATTCGCCCTACTCGAGGATTACTCGAGGAGGTAATAGGGGAGAATAAGGTCCAGATATTCGACTCGAGGAGGTAATAGGGGGGAATAAGGTCCAGATATTCGACTCGGGTAAGATCCAGATATTCGGCTCGAGAAGGTAATAGGGGGGAATAAGGTCTAGATATTCGACTCCGGGATTCTAATGAAAATTGGATAACAGAAAATTTTCGATGGTGAATGTGCGGAAAACATAAAGAACAAGACGAAGGAATGAGGAACAGGGGCAGCGTGAAACAGCTGGTTTGAGGTTGGATATTTAACGAGTCTAGGAGCGCTAACCGCAGTTCGCTTCCCGGCTGGGTGAAGCGGAAATTTTTTCTCTCTAAATTCTAATTCTCTTAGAATTCTTTAATGCCTAAAGGAGGTTAGGCAGTGTTTGAGGTGAATTTGAGAGTGAATTTCTGTGGTTCCCGGTAGCTTAGTCGGTAAGAGTGCCCGGCGCATATTTGGGAGACCCGAGTTCGATTCCCGGCTGGGTGAAGCGGAAATTTTTTCTCTCTAAATTCTAATTCTCTTAGAATTCTTTAATGCCTAAAGGAGGTTAGGCGGTGTTTGAGGTGAATTTGAGAGTGAATTTCTGTGGTTCCCGGTAGCTTAGTCGGTAAGAGTGCCCGGCGCGTATCTGGGAGACCCGGGTTCGATTCCCGGCTGGGTGAAGCGGAAATTTTTTCTCTCTAAATTCTAATTCTCTTAGAATTTTTCTCTTAGAAAAAAAAAATCTAATTCTCTTAGAATTTTTCTCTTAGAAAGAAAAAAAAATTCTAAGAGAATTAGAATTTAGAGAGAAAAAATTTCCGCTTCACCCAGCCGGGAATCGAACCCGGGTCTCCCAGATACGCGCCGGGCACTCTTACCGACTAAGCTACCGGGAACCACAGAAATTCACTCTCAAATTCACCTCAAACACCGCCTAACCTCCTTTAGGCATTAAAGAATTCTAAGAGAATTAGAATTTAGAGAGAAAAAATTTCCGCTTCATCCAGCCGGGAATCGAACCGGTTTATGGGGCCTAATGATATAAATGCAATTCCTTCATTCAGCCTTCTTCGAATCACTTTTTTATTTTTTAAAAGATTCAAAAGGAGCGCAACTGAATATACTTCTTCACGTCATGAATGAAACCAATTTTTTTCTCCAAAAAAAACATTCGTGAAGAGAAAAGTTTCGGATGAATGGTTGGGAAATATTTTTCTGAGGCGTTTACAGTCACGATTTGTCCAACGAAATAAAAAAACGGAGAAAAGATGAAAATGACTCTGGCCACATCGTTTATGCTCCTGAATTGTCGCGCACGGGTTTTAATATAAAAGTCGAGTGTCAAGGTGTAGAATAGCATTCCCCGCCTCTAGTTTTCCCCCGAAAAATGAAGGGCACACTCTCGCGAACAAACGAACAACACTCGACCTTTTCCTCCATCTCTTTCTCTAATAAATTCCATTAGGCATGGGCCCTTGGCGCTACTTGGGAATAGATATTATGTTACGTTATTTCTCCTGACGTGTATGTGAATGGTGTGCGCATCCATTACGCGGCCGGGTGCGACAATAAGGCTCCTCTTTCAAGAGTGAAAGAAAAAGAAGAATGAGAAGGAGAGACCAAAAAACGCATTGAGTTGAACGAAACCAACCAGCCGAGGATAATTCGACGCAAGAGCGATGCGCACGGTTATCGTCTTTTGTCGAGTGTACTGGGTCCTTTTAATGATTTACCTGGGGGGACAAACTCGAGAATGGACCTTGAAACGTAAACCTGGACTGGTGCTTTTTTTTGGCTACAATGATACCGCCTGTGGATTCGGAACTATTAATAAAAATAACCATGTGAAAAATGGTTTTGATGCTCTGATTTCTACGAGGAACATGAGCTGGAAAAACATTTTTTCAGATCGAACCATTGATGTGGCAAAATTTTGAGTCATTTCCGTAGTTTAATTATCTGAAAACAGCTGTTAACGAACACTGAATTTTCTTGGAGCTGAAGGGGTATAAAAGGCACAACGGGAAGAGCTATTTGATAGACAGGAAAGTTTCTGGCAACTTGGAAAAAATAGACAATTTATTTCTCTACTTTGTTCAAGCGATGATGAAAGAGCAAAATTTTGGTGACGGAATCTTTCTCTGACGATATTCCCGAGTGTAATCGGTCGAGAGCGGGCCCGAACCTCCTTTTAAATCGTAAATTTCTTTCTTCGAATACATGAGAAAATGCTCAAAAAAGTCTCCTAATTTACGAATAAATTTGTATCATAAAATGCCCTCTCAACTTTGCAAATAAATTTTCTCAAAATCAGGCAACAATCTGGTACGAACTCGTAAACCCAAGTGCACCCCATGTTCCCCAACGGACATCAATCCTCACAGCGATTCGAATTTGATGCATAGCCAGTATACGTGATCCCGAGCAACTTCTAAGTCAGTTGCCTCCCGTTTCGCGTATATTTCGCTCTTTCTCCTACTTTACTTTTCCACTCGTTTCCCTCTCAGAAAAAACGGGAACGAATGGCCAAGGGAGAAGTGATCCGGGTGCCGAAACTTGTCCGGGGTAAAGTTGGATCGTAAAAAAAACAAAAAAAGTAAAAGTAAGCACGAATCCAAGTGCATTTTGGCTCTGTGGAGAAACATTGGCTCAGCGAAGCGCACGGCGAAAATAAAAGGAATGTTGAAGGAAAAAACACTGTATCGATCCCAGAAAAATGTTTGGCTTAAATCCGGGACAATTTGGTGAAATCGATATAGGTCTGAGGATTTTCTTTCCAAAAACTCATGTCCTTTGAGGTACTGAAAATGTGACAAAAAAATTCATTGACTGCCACTCGACGACAAAGAAGCAACCGTACCGAATTTTTTGCGCTTCTGCATTTTGTCTATGGTACAAAGCACTCTCGTCTCACAATCGGTGAGCCGGTTGGTTGGGAGGGGGGGGTACTACCACCACCCGCGTCGAAGCCACTTGAGACGCCGGACAGTTTTTGAAATTTCACAGTCCCTCAAACTTGAGGGACTCAAGTACTGCATTCTTTTGAACACTCGACGTTATGGAATTACTTTTCTTGGGAATTTCATGGTTACCGTCCTAGGGATATCCCTCTTGACTGGAAGACGAAACTCGTGCCATCATCTCGTGGCTTTGTGTCTATGTCCGAATGCCGGGTTATTTTCTTTTTTTTGCGCAAAGTTAACTCGACTGGTTGAGAGTCCTTCGGGTTTCAAATAATGAGATGGAAGCTTACAACTCAAAGAATTTTGTGAAGATTTTTGGAACAATTTATTGAGAGATATTTTTTCCAATAAAAACGATGTTTGAAGAAATTTCTCAATATTATGTATGATTTCAGGGTGTTTATTGGATAACACGGCACCTAGGGGCCCTCCCGATGTGCCACCTCGTAATCCTACAATGAGCAGGCTCAACGGAAGACTACCAGGAAGCCACGCAGCAAGTGAACACGAACGTGATCCGGATCTTGAACCTTCCTGTCTTGTACGCACCCCATCGGGTAACTTCTATAATATAAGTAAGTACAAGTCCCATCAACTCTTACAACAATGAGACTGCCCCGAGGGGCTACTCACTCCCAAAATCACGGCGCCACTCTGGCATGAAATCATTCCGAAATCACTGCGAAATCACTGAAATCAAATAATTTCAGCTCTCCGAAATCACATGAAATCATCTGAAATCAATGAAATCACCGAAATCAGTGGCACACTGGCGTAGTCCGAATCGTGCACGTAATTCGTGATTTTGAAATTAACACGTCTGCCAACGATGATAATAAAATGCTGTACTCACTGCCATAGCAAAATGGTAAAATAAACCGCTTTTCATCGTCATTAGCTCAAGATTGGCGGAGTGGAATCAAATGAATTCGTTATTATTTGCCAGTTATTATTGCCAGTTTTGATTTTTTATAATTTGACACAACTCGTTTTGCCCCACCTCTATTATTTATTAACTTTATTTAGCTCTGTGAAGTTGGCACCCCACCTTGATGAATTGAAACGAAAATTTGATATTTGGTAGGTTTTGATCGGCACATCATAGTAGTAGCAATTTTTTTGTTTGTAGTCGAATAATAAGCGGCCCATACATTTTCAAAAGACAGTTAGGAACTATTTCATAGTTACAGCTAAAAGGACATCGGATTCTTATCTGCAATCGTTTGTAGTTGATTGCCCTTTTGGAATTTTTTCTATCCGACTTCAAATAAACGCCTCATTCATTTTCGAAAGACAGGAACTATTTTGTAGTTGCAGCTCAATTGGCATCGGATTTTCATCTGCAATCGTTTGTAGTTGATTGCCCTTTTGGAATTTTTTCTATCCGACTTCAAATAAACGCCTCATTCATTTTCGAAAGACAGGAACTATTTTGTAGTTGCAGCTCAATTGGCATCGGATTTTCATCTGCAATCGTTTGTAGTTGATTGCCCTTTTGGAATTTTTTCTATCCGACTTCAAATAAACGCCTCATTCATTTTCGAAAGACAGGAACTATTTTGTAGTTGCAGCTCAATTGGCATCGGATTTTCATCTGCAATCGTTTGTAGTTGATCTTATTCCCGAAATTTTTTCAGTCCAAATTCAAATAATCATGTCATTCATTTTCGAGAGATACTGAGGAACTATCCTGCAGTTCCAGCTTAATTGACATCGGATCCTTTTCTGCAATCGCTTGTTGATTGTAGTTTTGAAATTTTTTCAATTCGAATTCAAATAAGTGTTCTATTCATTTTCATAGTCCAAGTGGGGACTGACTGAGAGCGATAGCCAAACTGACGACGGATTCCTGCCTACAATCGTTTTTAGTTGTTTGTAGTACTCATAGATTTCCAATCCAATGGAAAAGAAGGACATCAGGAAGATCAGATACATAGGAGGGTTCGTTTTTAGTTGTTTGTAGTAGTATGAAAAATTGGAAATGAAAAAGATTCTTATATGCAATCATTTGCAGTTAATTGTGGTTTCGAAATTTCGTCAATCCGAATTTAAGTAAACCTTCAATCCATTTTCAGAAAACAGTTGGGAACTATTTTATAGTTGCAACTTAATTGACATGGGATTCCCATCTGCCATCGTTTGTAGTTAATTGTAGTTTTGAATTTTTTTCAATCCGAATTCAAATAAACGTTCTATCAATTTTTTGAGCCCAAGTGGGGACTGAGTGATAGATATAGCTAAAATGACAACGGATTCCTGTCTACAATCATTTGTAGTTGTTTGTAGTACTCATACATTTCTAATCCAATGGAAAAGAAGGACGTGAGGAAGATCAGATACATAGAAGGATTTGTTTTTAGTTGTTTGTAGTAGTAACAAAAATTGGAAATGAAGTAGATTCTCATATGTAATCATTTGCAGTTAATTGTAGTTTTGAAATTTTTCGAACAACTAAAAACGAATCCTGCTAGGTATCTGATCTTCCTCACGTCCTTCTCTTCCATTGGATTGGAAATTTATGAGTACTACAAACAACTACAAACGATTGTAGACAGGAATCCGTCGTCATTTTAGCTATATCTATCACTCAGTCCCCACTTGGGCTCAAAAAATCGGTAGAACATTTATTTGAATTCGGATTGAAAAAAATTCAAAACTACAATTAACTATAAACGATTGCAGATGTAAATCCCATATCACTTTAGCTCCAGCTATAAAATACTTCCTGTTTTTCGAAAATGGATTGAAGGCTTACTTGAATTCGGATTGACGAAATTTCGAAACTACAATTAACTGCAAATTATCGCATACAAGAATCTTTTTCATTTCCAATTTTTCATACTACTACAAACAACTAAAAACGAATCCTCCTATGTATCTAATCTTCCTCAGGTCCTTCTTTTTCATTGGATTGGAAATCTATGAGTACTACAAATAACTACAAACGATTGTAGGCAGGAATCCCTCATCAGTTTGGCTATAGCTATCACTCAGTCCCCACTCGGACTATGAAAATGAATAGAACACTTATTTGAATTCGGATTGAAAAAATTTCAAAACTACAATCAACTACGAACGATTGCAGATGTAAATCCCATATCACTTAAGCTCCGGCTATAAAATAGTTCCTAACTGTTTTTCGAAAATGGATTGAAGGCTTACTTGAATTCGAATTGACGAAATTCCGAAACTACGATTAACTGCAAATGATTGCATATGAGAATCTATTTCATTTTCAATTTTTCTTAGTACTACAAACAACTAAAAACGAATCCTCCTATGTATCTGATCTTCCTCACGTCCTTCTTTTCCATTGGATTGGAAATCTATGAGTACTACAAACTACAAACGATTGTAGGCAGGAATCCGTCATCAGTTTGGCTATAGCTATCATTCAGTCTCCACTTGGACTATGAAAATGAATAGAACACTTATTTGGATTCGGATTGAAAAAATTTCAAAACTACAATCAACAAGCGATTGCAGAAAAGAATCCGATGTCAGTTAAGCTGGAACTGCAGGATAGTTCCTAAGTATCTCTCGAAAATGAATGACATGATTATTTGAATTCGGATTGAAAAAATTTCAAAACTACAATCAACAAGCGATTGCAGAAAAGAATCCGATGTCAGTTAAGCTGGAACTGCAGGATAGTTCCTAAGTATCTCTCGAAAATGAATGACATGATTATTTGAATTCGGATTGAAAAAATTTCAAAACTACAATCAACAAGCGATTGCAGAAAAGAATCCGATGTCAGTTAAGCTGGAACTGCAGGATAGTTCCTAAGTATCTCTCGAAAATGAATGACATGATTATTTGAATTCGGATTGAAAAAATTTCGGGAATAAGATCAACTACAAACGATTACAGATAAGAATCTTTCATTATTCCTAATTTTGTCCACCATTCAAAACAACTACAACCAAATCCTTTTACATATCTGATCTTTTTCAGGTTCTTTATGAAAAATAATTTTTCGGAACCATTTCATAAAAACCATACCGTCAATTTTTTTCATTGGACTGACAATCTGCAAACACTACAAACAACTACAAACGATTGCAGAGCAAAATCCGATGCCAATTGAGCTGCAATTGCAAAATAGTTCCTGTCTTTCAAAAATAAATAAGGCGTCTATTTGAAGTCGGATTCGAAAAATTTCAAAACTACAATCAACTACAAACGATTGCAGATGAAAATCCGATGCCAATTGAGCTGCAACTACAAAATAGTTCCTAACTGTCGTTCGAAAATGAATGAGGCGTTTATTTGAAGTCGGATAGGAAAAATTTCAAAACTACAATCAACTACAAACGATTGCAGATGAAAATCCGATGCCAATTGAGCTGCAACTACAAAATAGTTCCTAACTGTCGTTCGAAAATGAATGAGGCGTTTATTTGAAGTCGGATAGGAAAAATTTCAAAACTACAATCAACTACAAACGATTGCAGATGAAAATCCGATGCCAATTGAGCTGCAACTACAAAATAGTTCCTAACTGTCGTTCGAAAATGAATGAGGCGTTTATTTGAAGTCGGATAGGAAAAATTTCAAAACTACAATCAACTACAAACGATTGCAGATAAGAATCCGATGTCCTTTTAGCTGTAACTATGAAATAGTTCCTGTCTTTTGAAAATGTATGGGGCGCTTATTTTTCAACTACAAACAAAAAAAATGCTACTACTATCATGTGGCGATCAAAATCTACCAAATATCAAATTTTCGTTTCAATTCATAAAGTGGGGTGCCACCTTCACAGAGCTACTTTATTTTTCTGAAATCACTGATTTCGAATTAATGAAATCATTCGACACCATAAAATCACCTCCCGTGACGCTCGAAATCACCGAAATCATGTGTTCCGAAATCACTGAAACCACCCGAAATCGATTTCATTTCGAAATTATGGTGTCACTCAATTACGGAGTGAGTAGACCCTCGGACAGCCCTTTCGAAACGTTCAAAATAATTTCACATTTTTCATTTTTCGCAAGAAAGAATTTTAACAAGAAAAAAATATAGACTGAGAGAAAAAATTATTTCTGTCAAATATCCATTTACTTGAGGGAAATATTTATTTTTTCAATACTGTATTTCTCCCGTCGGGTCATGCACAGACGAGCCGAGTTAGGTTTCGATTATGACAATCATGTTGCTCTAGAGGATGACTATGTTGCACATAACTTTGGATGCTCCTCCAAGGATTATTCATTTTTACTAAATTTCTCATTTTCTAGAGGAAAGAATTTCGACTAATTATTTAATGTTGATAATTATTGAGGGAGTTCACTCAAGATCATAACTAACATGATTATCTTCTAGAGCAATATAATTGTCATCATTGAAACCTAATAAGGATTGCCTCGCAATTACTTGACTGGAGAAATACAGTATTGAAAAAATAAATACTTCTCTCAAGTAAATGGATATTTGGCAAAAATAATTTTTTTCTCAGTCTACATTCTCGATTTAATGTAATACCAGAAAACGAGATAAACGAAAGGTTCTAACGATGGAACAATAAAAAGTACCTCTCCCATCAGTATCCTTTGAAGACTTTGATGAGGGTGCGTTTGCAAAGAGAATCGGTGGGCGTGTGTAGCATCGCGTAGGGAATTCCAAGCAACTCGAGAACTCTTCTTATCTCTAACATGTATATAACCATGCAGTAGCCCACAATCAAACCTAGAAAGAGTCCCCATGGGCCCTCTCCTCTCCTCTCTCGCTCTCGCTCAATCTCTCTCTCTCTCTCTCTCTCTCTCTCTCT